GTATTTAAAGGCAGCTGAGCGCGTCTTGGCCTCCTTAAACTTCAGCAACTCAGCCACCTCATCAGGGGATAGACCCTGCCTTTATCCAGGTCTTTCAGCAGATCAGCCTGAAAAGCCTGAAGCACCACCATGGTGTGCAACGAGGCTGCAGCCTGACCTGCTGCCGCGTATGCCCTGCCATTCAAACGAGATGTATCCTGAAGGGGTTTGGACGGCAGGGAGGGAGCCTTAAGAGAAGATGTCTCCCCCATAGAGAGATAGCAGGCCAGCGTCTCTTCAACAGGGGGCATCTTTTCATAACCATTCTCACGCATCCCCTCGATGTTGGCATAACTAGTATGCTGGAATCTGTGGATGCGGGACGAGAATGGATTTTACCAAGCTTTCTCAATCTCCACATGAAGATCGGGAAGGAATGGAAGGCTCACCTGAGCTGGAGGGCTATGGCTAGCACTTTCTTGATCCAAAACCTCAAGCAGCTTATCATACGCAGGGCAGGAAGGGTTAACTTCAAGCCGGAGTGCAATGTAATGTGGTTATCTGAGAAGGACATGATTGAAATTGTCTACAACAACTCCAGACAGATCCACACTATACACTTCCTATATAAATAAAAGGAAATTACCGATAGGGAGAAATTTCCTGTCAGGTCCTTTCCATGTTCTCACCGCGACCGCAACGCGCAGCATGCATTCAGACACGCTCCACCCAAACGCTAGATTACCTTGGAAATCAAGCGAGAATGGAAACCGCTGCCGCGAATGCATCGCTATTCCCGCGAGAAGTGAACGCACTCATGCAAACGCTATCTACAAACTCGGGTAAATGGTGAAGTACTCACCTCCCCCTCAGTAGTCCCGTGAATGCATCACAATGAGCACAAGCCATCTCCTCGTGAGACGAGCGCTTTCAATTCATGCTTATCCCTCACAAGAAATAAGCAATGGAATGCAGAGCACATCCAACTCCCTCGAGAGCTGAACACGCTTGCTCTTCACCACACACACACAGCACGCGAGCCGTGTGAAACTGCAGGTATCAGAGCAAAGCCTCTGGTGAGAGAACATGCTCTCCTAGTTGTGCTTAGCTTAACACTAACATAAAAAAACGGTCAGTGAAGACGAAGAAGAGGATGACGTGTTATCCCGGCGCCCTTTTATACTGTGATCGCGCAGGATAATGATGTCATAGGCTGTCGCCGGCCAATGTTATTGTCGTTTTTAGATGTATGCTTCAGACACCGGTCACGCTGAAGGCGTTCCCCATAGCAACCCCTAGAGGACGCAGTTCGAAGTTCCCTCGAAAGGGAATTAAGAATTCTTTCCTTCGTTTTATTAATTTGTGGCCACATTTTAGTAATTCCCTCATTGTCATGAAATCAAAACAAGGAAATGTGGCCACGATTTAATAAAACCTTGAAACGAATTAAGTCATAGGAAGGAAATCCTAATTTGTGGCCACAATAAATATACTGTATTTTTGTCCGCTTGTCATGTGAGGCTCCGTACGTTTTATTTTTGTAGATAAAAGATCTAGGATCTATCTTAGTCATTTGAGGAGTGATTCATTGTTTGTTTCTCTCTGTGCTGTGGTTTGTGTCAGTGCTCTGATGTCTCTGTTTGTGATTGTTCAGCCAGCGTGTCGATGGGATCATGCGAGCTCTCTGTGCAATGCTGTGCCTTGGTCTGGTGGTGGCACTGCAGTCGAATCAGCAGGTCCACAAAGTGCATTCGGGCATCCACGGCCACCAGTGGGTGACGGAGAACTGCAGGCGGCTCTCTAACCTGCTGAGGCAGAAGCAGTCGGCCATCCGTAAACTGAGCGTGGCCGGCATGGCACTGGAGCGGGACGAGATGCTAGCACCGCCGGAGAAGCTGTTCCGCATTCACACACTGGAGGTGTTTCAGCGCGAGCTGAATGAGAGCGAACGCTCACTCTTCCAGGCCGTGGAGGGGCTGCAGCGCGTGATGAAGGGGAACCTCAGAGACGTGGTCAACATGAAGGACAGCAGCCGGCAGAGACTGCAGGCGCTCAGGGAAGCTGCCATCAAGGTTAGTTGTGTGATGTCATATCCTGTGCGAATCTCACCAACTACAAAATCAAGCCTGTTTTTGGGCAAACCAGATCTTCTTCTTCTTGGTTTTTAACGGCGGCTGGCACCAACGCAAATAGGTGCATTACCGCCACCTTCTGCTCCGGAGTGTGAAACAGAGTTTTAAATTCTATTTACCAACCCTGTATCTCTTATAAAATCAAAGAATACATTACTATTTATTTCATTTGCCCATTTTATTAAAACCTTAAAATTAAGATCCTGAATTCCATTTTTCCTTATTTCTACTATCATTTTTCTTCTTTCTTGTTCATACTTGCTACATTCAAGAAATACCGACTTCTTGCTGAAGCTTCCGCCATCGACCAAAACCACGATCACCGACAAGAGACATTGGCCCAAACCAGATCTTTGCATTCTCATATGTTTATGACCCACATAGAAACGCCCACCTGAAGGGCTAAACAATGCTTTCCTCCACTGACTGCAGGTATTTTTTACCAGGTTTGTACTAAGAGCTAATATACTAAGACAGTGATATTAAAAGACCAAACTCAGTCTACACCTTATTAATGATGTAAACTATATACAGGAGAGCAGATGAGCTCAGAATATGAACACAACACGATAAATTGCAGTATTTCCCAATAGAGAACCATTATAAAGAAACAGAGATATTACAGAACCAAATTCAGTATACACATACAGTACAACAAACATCATTAACCCTCACTTACTGACTTTGCTCACAAAGTGTATAACAACTTTTTTCAATTTTGTTACACCAGTTAAAATTGACTGGCCTACAAAAATTGATTATGCTATATCATCATCAAATGTTGGAATCAAATTATTTATCAACTAGTTTTCTTTAAATTAGCACAGGTTTTGGAACTGTGTCAGTTGTTTTTGGAACTGACTGATCGTAGGCCTCATTGATCTGAGCTTTTGCACCTGAGTGAATATTGACAAAATTATCCACAATTAATGTTTTTGTTTTCTCTCAAAAACCGAATAATGCCATAATGCTTTAGTCCAAATTCAGTATACACATACAGTACAACAAACATCATTAACCCTCACTTACTGACTTTGCTCACAAAGTGTATAACAACTTTTTTCAATTTTGTTACACCAGTTAAAATTGACTGGCCTACAAAAATTGATTATGCTATATCATCATCAAATGTTGGAATCAAATTATTTATCAACTAGTTTTCTTTAAATTAGCACAGGTTTTGGAACTGTGTCAGTTGTTTTTGGAACTGACTGATCGTAGGCCTCATTGATCTGAGCTTTTGCACCTGAGTGAATATTGACAAAATTATCCACAATTAATGTTTTTGTTTTCACTCAAAAACTGAATATTGCCAAAATGCTTTTGTCATTAAAAAACTGTATATTGACAAAATTATCCACAAATAATGCTTTTTTTTCTTTAAAAAACTGAATATTAACAAAACTATCCACAAATAAATTTTTTTCACTCAAAAACTGAATATTGCCAAAATGCTTTTGTCATTCAAAAACTGTATATTGACAAAATGATCCACAAATAATGCTTTTTTTTCTTTAAAAAACTGAATATTAACAAAACTATCCTCAAATAATTTTTTTTCACTCAAAAACTGAGGTGCATAAGCTCAGATCAATGAGGCCTACGATCAGTCAGTTCCAAAAAGAAAGAAAAAAACCTGTGCTAATTGAAAGAAAACAAGTTGGCAAAAAGATTGAATTCAATATTTGATGATAATATAGAATAAAGAGATAATTATAAGCAAGTTTTAAAAGGTTGGCCATTTTTGACAAGTAACACCAGATTATGTAAAGGATTTTTAGCATAATAATAATTGTAAAAAATACTACATATAGGAAAGCAAATAAACACAAAATGTGAACGCACCGTGCAAAGATTCATATCATGCATTTTCCTCTATGAAAACATTAGAAAGAAATGTGCAGTTTAGTGTGTTGCGTCTATAATCTGGGTTTATCTGCTTGCTTTTATACAGTTTGCATCAGCAATAAGGTGTGTACTGAGTTTGATCTTTTAAAATGGCTGTTTTAGTCCATTAAGCCACATGAAGCATTTTAGCAAGTGCTGTATATGAATCACAAGAGCCCAAAACGTACATTTTTTTCACAGATATTTGTTTTTCTTCTTTTGAGAGGTGATCTAAATATTTGTAACTTAAAATGTGTTGAAAACTGACAGGCCTGTGCTGCAGTTTATGAATGATTTGTCCTCCAGTCATGCGACTGAACACTGTGACATGTCTCAGTATGTTTGTTTAGTTATTTTAGCAAATAGTCTTTTTGGCATCAGTCGTTGAGTGTCTTTGGGCAACTCATGAAGCTGATGTGAGCAGGAAGTGACTTTAAGGACAGTGAAGCACAACACAAGTGGTTCCTGTGACGTTAGACATGCACACATGACTGAACGTGTTTTTCCAGGAGGAGCAGGAGTACATGGAGCTGGTGGCGGCAGAGAAACACCAGCAGGAGGCACTAAAAGTGGCACAGGATCGGAATAAAACCCTGTCCATGCTGGATGAGATCCTGGAGGACGTGAGGAAGGCCGCAGACCGTCTGGAGGAGGACATCGAAGAACACGCCTTCGACAACAACAAACAGGTGCAGGTTTCGCAAACACAGCTGTTCTAGATGAAATACAGCGCAGTGAAGAAATGTCTCTGAACCTGAAATACAGGACCTACTACACATACAGTAATGTGATACACTTGACATTGACTGAACACAGCATGTTTAACCACCACAAATATCATGAAGAAACACACACACACACACCTGAGTCAATAACAGAGCTGAACAAACATCTTACAGTGAGACACAAACTTATGAATGATTCCTCAAATAATAATGAAAATGATCAACAGTGAACTTCATTATCAGTTGGGTCTGTGTGTTAAGCTTGGAAAACCAGTTGCACCTCTTTTTACAGCAGCAACACATTCATCAACAGCAGATCATGAGCAATCGCATGGCATAAATGATTGTGAACTGATCTGAAACTGTGAGCTTGTAGAACGTGCAACAACACTGCGTTTTTATTCTGAACATGCAGTACTCGAATTTAATTCAGTTCGCACACATCTATTTTAGTCGCAAATGTGAAGAAACACTTGCACTGTCAGATGTGTGGTGCTTTTTTAAGTCCCCATGAAATCAAAATGGTAGTTTTTTGGCTTTTAGTATGAATATGTTAGCCTTAAGGTTATCTGTAGATAGTGTGCTCCAAAACAATGACAAAATTAGCATTTAGAAGAAATAAGCATTCAAAATGTACAGTCTCTCACTTCCCCCAATATGGATCAGCGATTTTGATGACATCACCCTGCACCCTTTCAAATCAAATGCTCTCTAGAATCTGAAGCATCCCGCCCCCTACACTAAAGCTGCGGTTGAGATCGGTCACTCGATCACAGAATTAGTATTTTTGTATGATGAATGGCATGTAGTGCACTATATAGGGGATAGGGATTGATTTAGACGGTGTAAATATGCTTTCGATTGGGGCTAATGAAGTCTGGTTTGGCGTTGTCACGCGAATTGCCACAGCGTGCACAGTCTGCTCCAGTCCAAAGACACGATAGCATGGAGCGGATCATATGTGTGAATCGACGCAGACCACAAAACGTATCAAACCCTTTTGAATTCTACACAGCATGCTATATTTATAACGATATGGATGAGATTAGGAGCAGAAACTGTTAGACAAACAGCACTGATGAGTAGAAGAGGGAACACCGGTGCCATTCACCAATGAAATAACTTACACACTTTTCAAACTACACATCCTCAGCATGATTATGATCACTGTTTTGCTTTAGTATTTCATATTGAATCTAAAGGGTTAAGCTAGTAGACTGTGCCTGTCATAAGCTGTCAAACGCTGCTTTACCAAGCTCAACGTCTATGACAGAGCTGTGATATAAACAAAATGCTATCGGCTATTATGGTTATATCTATAAATGTTAGAAATACACACAAGTATTTTCATTTTGCATAAATGCTCATCCTGACAGCAAATGTGACTGTTAAACTTCATATACTTCAATGAACACATACATTGTTGTCAAACATCTTTTGGTTTTCATCATTTTCATTTAGTGATTGTCAACTTCTGCTGGGCAAACAGTTGTTTTTGATTTATAATGTGATGTTTACTGGCTAAAAGTTTGAAATAATTAGTTTGGAATCATTTAACATTAAGGATTTTGTAATGTTTTTGAAAGCAGTCTCTTCTGCTCACCAAGGCTGCATTTATCTGATCAAATATACAGGAAAAAAAGTAATATTGGGAAATAGTATTGCAATTTAAAATAACTGTTTTCAATGTAAATATAATTTGAAAAAAAAATATCTGATTAATTGAAGAAATAATCAACAAATTAAACAATTATCAAAATAATCATTAGTTGCAGAATTACTGTTTTCACTTCAGACACGACCTCAGCATCATAGTGGTGAGTTTTGCTCACATATTTCTCAGAAAACATAAGCATTCTAGCTTTAATTGAGAAAGAATGAGTATTAAGTGATTCATAAAACGTATTTGCTCATCAACCCATTTGTAGTTATTTTTTGTCCATCTCTCTCTCTCTGTCCAGATGAAGGGTGTGAATGTCGAGGCCGTCCTGAGAGTAGAGGAGGATGAGGAGAACGGTAAGAGGAAGAATGAGTCAAGGCAGGTGGACAAAGGCAATCTGGGGCTCAGCATGCTGATCGACTCACAAAACAATCAGTATGTGCTGACCAAACCACGTGACTCCACCATCCCCCGTGCCGACCACCACTTCATCAAGGTCAGCACCTGACCTCTGACCTCTCACTATGTGTTCTCACAGTTCACTGGAGCCAATTGCAGGCTCAGCACTTTCGCACAAATGAGAAATTATATTTTAATAATGTATTTGGTTGCACAGGATCTGGTGTACGTGGTCATGTTGTCTCTACCGTGTGGATGGCTCTGTACGCTGATGCGGTTGCCGCCCATGTTCGGCTATATCATCTGTGGGGTTCTTCTCGGCCCATCAGGACTCAACAGCATCAAAGTGAGTGATGAACCTCTTCAGATGCACGTGTGCACATTGCATGATCTCAGTTGGACATGTATGTGATATTATGCTTTCTGTCCCGCCTGCAGTCTATGGTTCAGGTGGAGACATTAGGAGAGCTGGGTGTGTTCTTCACTCTTTTTGTGGTTGGTCTGGATTTTTCACCCGAACGCCTCAATAAGGTAAAAACAAGTGTTGCATGAAAACAACAAAAGACAAAATCAACAGGCTTGAGAAAATAAGTAATTTAGTGCAACTTAAAGGGATAGTTCACCAACAAAAATTACAATTCTGTCATCAATTACTTCCATTCACTTGTTCCAAACCTGTCTGAGTTTGTTTCTTCTGCTGAACACAAAAGAACCACTGACGTCCATAGTATTTTTTTTTCCATAATGTGGAAGTCAATGGCTACCGTCAACATTCTTCAAAATATTTTCTTTTGTGTTCAACAGCTGAAAAAAATTCATACAGGTTTAAAACAACATGAGGGTGAGTAAATGGTGACAGAGTTTTTATTTTTGGGTGGACTATCCCTTAAAGAATGTGGGTGGAGGTGTGTGAAGAGTCACAGCAAATTCCTCAAAAGTAAGAAAATGAGCTGAATCTCCAGTCATTCTGAAGACTTGTCCTCTAGTGCTGCAGAAACAGCAAAAACCAAGAATCAGACATGTTCCTCATCTGTGTGCTGCTGGAAACACAGTGTGCCGTTACTCAGCGTTTGGTTTCCTGTTTATGACACAACAAAATACAAACCAACCACTGGTTACTATTGGCGCTTTTCCACTGCATGGTACGGCACGGTACGGCTCGGCGGCAATTCGGCGTAAAGCAATTGTTCGTTTTTAGCTCGTTTGAATTTTCCCTCTTCTCCTCGCTTTCCGTCGCTTTTAAATAGGTTAAAAGCGCCGTGCTCATTTTACTTTCACT